AAGATGGTCTCTTTGGCACGCCTCCTCCTCCGTGCTGCCCTCTTCCTCGTGACAGTCATGTCAAACTGGTTCAAAACCAACTAAGTCCATGCTCAATAATCCAGGTATACAATCCAACAATTTTCAGTCAGGTCATCTGGACAGTTTCCAGTGTCCAGATGACCTGACTGAAAATTGTTGGACATCGTTTTCTAGATTATTGAAACATCTGGAAAATTATTTGATAATTATTTTAGGCTCAAGACAATGTTATCTCTTGTTCTGGTTTGGGGTTCCAAATCCATGACCTTTCAGCCCGAGTGAATTGTCTTTATTGCATGAAAATAAAAGAACAAACAATAGTAATGAAATTATTTACTTTGTAATCAAAAAGCTGCTCTTTACGCACAAGGTGGGATTTTATTTGATCTTGTGCCCTAGAAAAACGACACAAAAGATCATGATGTTCAAGTAAACAGTGATAATCACGAGACTCAACACAAGATAATCTTTTTATTAGGTCTCGTATAAACAGTGAGACCAGCTCAATATTAGAGTTGCACACTGTTAATATATGTAATGTTAGTGATGTACATTAAGCTGTGTGAAGGGCTTGAAGTTAACTTTTGCATCAGGTTATGGTTGTGAGTGTTTAGATTTTGGTAGCGTTAAAAAGGTGCAATACCCTGCACTTTAAATTGATGAAAATATGTTTTAACAGAATATGCTGCCAACTAATCATGTAAAATTAGATTATTGGATACAAGTAAAAATACTGTAGACAAATGTCTGCTAGTAATTAGTCTGAAATAATCCATCTTTGATATGAAGTCCATAAATGAGAAAAATCTCTGCAACATGGAAAAAATCCTCACCCTGTGCTCTGTTTAAATTAGATTTTCTAGGGAAAGTCGCAGGTTCACCTCCCGGTACCGTCAACATCAAAATGTGGGTGGAAAAGGTGAAACACTCACACCTCCCTCCACCCTCATTCGCCCCACTCTGGCCCCCTGAGCATGGCCCTTAACCCCCACCATCTCCTCACAAACAGGTCTCTCTTGAAAATGAGTTCTCGTGGCTCAATGAGACTACCTGGATAAATAAAGGCTAAATGAAAAAAAAAAGTCACATGACACCCTTTGACACAAACACCCCTTTGTATTAACTATTCCCCCATAGGAATCTACCCCTTACATAATTTTTCTCCTATAAGAATTACACAAGTTGACATACTCACAGGCAATTACAGTATTGCTTAAATTAAATTTAGGAGTCATCTCACAGCTTTGGTACAATAAAGTTTTTTTTGGGGCTTCGCTTACTACCAAACGATGCTTCAGAAGCCCTGGATCATGTCTTGAATAATGACACCGATGATGAGGGGGAAAACAAGGCCCTGACAAAAGATGCTTAAGAGGAGAAACACTAAGTAGTTTAAGGTCGTTTTCACACCAGATAGTCCGGTAGACTCGGTTCGGGACCAATATTCATGAGCTTTTGTTGACATTTGAGCTGGTGCATTTGCATTCACACTGCACAGTGCAGTCAAGTCAACCTGTTGAACCAACCTATTCCCCCGCTCACCTGTGGGGGCGCTGCACCAAGAACTACTGAAAGAAACAACACAAAAACCTCTGAAGACACGTCTTCTTCTTCTTCTGTAAATAAAAATAAAAACGAAGTGGCCTCAAGTTTTAGCAGTTTTAGGAGTTATATTTTGTCATTTTTCAAAAATGGACTTAGCATGAGCAGAAGATGAGACAGAAGACCATGGAGAATATTGTTTCTCCACACAAGGCAGCTGACGGCTCCATATAAGGTAAGAGAAATGTGTGTTTGTTTACACTGTGGAGCGGGGCTCGGTCTGTTTACATTCACACTGCACTCGAACCGCGCTGGAGTTCGCTTCTACCGGACCGAGACCTAGGTTTTAGCCCGGGCCACAGTTCACCTTTTTGTTCCGTGACAAAGTTCGATGGCGCGTTCACACCTCCCTAAACGAACCGGACTTTCTAGGAAAATGAGCTAGATTTCGATTAAAGCGGACTAAACAAGGCTGGTGTGAATGCACCCTTAGACAACACTGAATATAATCCAGACCAACAATCAATCAACCTGCGATTAGAAGTGCAATGTGTTTCATATTAATCCATACGTACGTTTTTTTTTTCTTCTTTTTTTTTCCTCAGACCAAGCTGAGCTGAGGTTAATGTGGCCTACGGGACATAAAAACCAAACCAAACCAAAAATCTACATTTGATGAGTTTATAAAATCAAACCGATAAAGCAAGTTTAAACATCTCTCACAGCATTAGATAATAATGCATTTACAGTATTATCACAGATTTATAAACACACATATATAGGCAATTGTTTTCAACCAGTTACACAAAACTAGTAAGCATGAAAAATAGCACAACAAAATAGTTAAAAACTGCAAACATTTATGGCATTTAGATAGTCTTCTTATTCTTTTTATCCATCGTCTTGTATCTTGTTTTCCCTAATCATTGAATAATCAGTTCAACTGGTTCTAATTCTACATTAGCTGCATTCATTACCACAAAAGTATTAGAAATGCAGCCCATTCAGTCTGTTGAAATGTCCTGGAAGTTATTCTTCTTGAGTCAAACACATATTCTGCTCACAAACCAACATGTTGGTTACATATTTACTTTCATTAACTGAACAGAAGGGAGAGAAAACAATTAGCAATCTATTAACAACCACTGTTTCCATTCAACTAGGTTTGACACATGTAGTGAACCTAGGCCCATGTCAAAACTGACCAGATGGACAGAGACTGTTATTTCATTGATCTGCATCCAGAAATACAGTTTGAGCCATCTGGAGACTTTCTTTCTTGAATTAATCAAGTAGAAAAGACAATTCTCTATGATCATTACTATTTTACAATTGTTTGATAATCAAATTGTGTTAGTTCACTCAATGTTTACAGGTTGAAGAGAACTACTCATTTTTATTTACATAAACAGTAAGTAATGATTTTTTATTCCTCATTCAAAGAAGAAATCAGGTTAATATGCATTTCTTGATTTTTCTGTCTTCAATGAGCAAGTTTTGTAAGTGTGTGTTAAAGTTCAAGTTTCGGTCAACTAAAAGTTTACTGAAAAAAAAATGTCATGTTTAACTTTTACAGCAGATAATAGGAGTAGAGACTCCACGAAGTCTGAAGTTCTCCAATAATCTTTCTGTCTGTCACTAAAACAATCCTTGACTTTTCATAACATCTTACATCACAAACCACACCTCTTTTCTGGTCCATCGACCAATCAAAAAGCTCTCAAATGACCCGGAAGTCGACCCATTTAAAATGTGGCAACTTCCCAGTTCAGTCAGTTGCTGCGCTCAGGAATGAGTTCAACATGGGAGTTTTCAGAGCTTAAAAGTTTTCCTGAAGAAGAGTTCCAGACTTTTAACTCTCTGAAGAGAGTTAAAGAGTTCAGAGTTCTTGGATGCTAACGCAGGCGTCCAGAATGCTTCTATTGGAATACAGAATGCAGTGACGATTTTGGGAATTATAACTTCTGTTTGGATAACCTCGCACGACTCTCGAAGTATTTTAGCTGCTCTCAACGGAGACGCTGAAAGTGTCAAAGGAAGGATTCTATACCGACGCTGACCTATCGTCAACCAGGTAAAAGTTCTGCTTCGACCAAGCGTACCGTGAACAAGCTGAGAACTGAAGGAGCGTGCACGTTTCTGGTCAAACAGATTAATTCCCTCACACATCTCTCTGTAAGATAAATCTCCATTTTCCATCTTAAACTCTCCTTTCTCCTAAAATCATTACAGATATTTTAGAAATATCTGAAGCAAAGTTCTCAATCACCGCCGTGTGATTGATGTCTGTGGTTCTGCTGAGAAGTGAGGACAATCGCCGTATTGTCCACTTTCTGTGAACTTGAAATTGTTATTGTTTTCATATTTTGCCAAATTAATGTAAATGTTTGATGTTAAACTTTGATTCTGCAAATAAATGACCGCATTCATTTGATGGGTCAAAGATAAATAACGTCTCTCGTTACATTTCTGTTAAACTCAATGCACGCATTTACACAGTCAGAAAAATGAAGAACCCGTCTTAAAATGTATGAATATATACGCATATGTCATACTACACACAGTTCTCCTTTGCTTAATCTGGTCTCACTACCTAAAAACAAGCACGTTGTAGTCTACAACCCTACCCAAGTACTAGACTTAAAATTGTTTTCTTGTTTTACCCAAAGCACCAAGACACGTGTAACATTTTACACATTGTCACTTTGAACGTACAATTTTTGACACAAAAATCTAAAAATATAATTGACACTGTAAATTTAATCGCTTCTGTACAATGACAATAAAGCTGATTCTGAAATTTGTAGCTAATTCAATTTAATTCAGAAATACTTTATTAATCCCAAAGGGAAATTAAATGTGGTTGTAACTCATTGTCCTGGTTTCATGAAGGTTGTAGGCAGGAAGAATCTCACACAGTGTATCAGAAGAAATTGGCCGCAGATTCCAACCTGTCCAACCGGATCCGACGGGCCTCTTGGTCCTCCTGGGCAGCAGTACCAACTGAATACCAGACAGAATTCCTCCCCGAGCAATAGCCACTCCTCTCAGCAGCTTGTTGAGCTCCTCGCCACTGTCACCAGATGTAGGTGTCAGTGGATGATCCTGGTGTTCTTGTCACGAGCAACATTTCCCGCTAGCTCCAGGATCTTGGCAGTCAAGTACTCGAGCATTGACACCAGGTAGACGGGAATGCATACACGGCTCCTCCTTTACTACTCGTTTGGGATTTGGGGCTGTAGTTGAGGTAATATATGAGCTTTTTAGATGTTAATCGGCTGCTCCTGGTTGTAAAAATATCACCTTGTTGTCATGGTTATGCATAATAACAAATGTCAAAAAGTGAAAAGCATTGAGTAAAAATCTGACCAGCTAAACAAGTTATAAATTAAATATTTATAACCAATGTTTATCAATGAAACAGACTTCACAGATTTTCATCTTGGCTCTTGAGGGCTGTTTTTCAGCTCATAAAGAGTTGAGCTTTTCTCACTTTCAGTCTTAACTATGTCTATACTTTTCTTAGGCTGTGCTGAGGCCTTGATTCCATTGATAAAGGCTAGTCGTTTGTACAGAGACAAGTGAGGGAGTTGCAGTTTTCGGTGTGGCGGCCTTCTGCAGTGAAGCAGCTCCCCATAGGCTCGACGGAAATCCCTATTGAATGCTGGATACAGGATGGGATTTAGAGTTGAGTTGAAGTAGCCAAGCCAAAGGACAACTGAGTGAAGTGTATTTGGGGGTATTGTTTTTTCATTTATACCCATGAAAGTGAAAAAGGTGAAGTAGGGTACCCAACAGATGACAAACGCACCAAGTACAGCTGCAAGGGTCACTGTAGCCTTGTGCTCGTGGACTATGGTTGCAGATGCTGAGCGTGCAAACGACGGGGTGGTAGCACGGATACGACGCACCTAAAAAGATTGGACACAGAAAATTAATTTCTGGATTGTGATCTATAAGTAATTTGAAACTACAACTGAAACAAGAAAATATTGATTTGTATGGATCACATGTGAAGGTTTGATAAAAACATTTCTTCTTTTTATTTTGGCTTTTCCCTCTTCAGGGGTCGGCACAGCGAGTCACCCTCCTCCATCTCACTCTGTCCTCACTCCAACTACCTCTATGTCCTCTCTAACTGCATCCATGTGTCTCATCTTTGTATTTTTCCTGTCAGCTGCATTTCTAACATCCTTCTACCAATATACCCACTGTCCCTCTTCTGGACATGTCCAAACCATCTCAGTCTGGTGTCTCTAAATTTATCTCCCAGTTGTTCAACCTGTGCTGTACCTCTGATGATCTCATTCCTAATTGTATCCATCCTTGTCACTCCTAAGAAGATTCTCAACATCTTCATTTCTGCTTCTTCCAGTTCTTTCTCTTGTCTTTTTTTCTCATTGTCTTTGTCTCCAAACCATACAACACAGCTTGTCTCATTACTCTCTTATAAACTTTAGTCATCTGCAAACATCATATTCCACTGGGATTCCTGCCTGATCTCATTTGTTAGTCAGTCCATCACCAGAGCAAATAAGGGACTCAGAGCCAATCCTTGATGCAACCCCACCTCCACCCTGAAGCTATCTGTCACGCCACTTGTTCATTAAAAACATTTGGTTACAATAAAAAGCAGATCAATATGCAAATTATTTTGAATGTCTGTGAAAGATGCAAATGCATTTGTCTGCCTAATCATTACATCTAATCAGTCCAAAGGTTTACTCAACTCCTGACAGACTAGGACTAATTATGGTTGAGTGACATATTGCACACCAACAGGACGCTTACGTACAAACCTGTTGTAATATGGACATTACTTGGTTGAGAAAACTGCAACAAACTAAACAATGTAATGAAAAAGTGTAGTTGTTTAATATTAGCTAATATGATGTTTTATCATACCAGTATGCAATTTTGTGTGCAGGAGTTGTTTTACTAGCTTAAAAGCGAGGACCTGGATAGCCTACAGCTTGACTCTTAGGTGAACTTTTGCTTTTTTTCTTCAGTTCGTTATGACTGATTCACATCAGATAAGGTGCTACAGTAAGTGTTGACAACTGTCGGACTGATCATCACTCATAAGATGACCAAATCATGTCTTTAAGGCATATTAATCTTCTATAAAAGGGGGTTATGTTAGTACATAATCCAAAACACTCACCTGTTCTCGTGCCGCTCTGAAAATGCAAAGGTACATTCCACACATAAGTAGCAGAGGCAAGTAATAAAAGCCAAAGGCATAGATGAGAACATAGTTGTTACTCCATTCAAACTGACAGTAGTGCTCCTCCTTGTCCTCATCCCCAGTACCCCAGTCCAAGTTCTGCACCTTGTAGTCAGCTGTGTTCCAGCCCATTTGGATGGGCAAAAAGGCTGCAACCAGAGACACAAGCCAGATGGAGATTATAGCCAGTGTCACCCTTCGAGGGGTGACTATTTGAGAGTGGCTGAGGGGGGATGAAATGGCCAAATATCGGTTCACACTGATAGCCAGGAGAGTCAGGATGGAGCACGTACACAGCAAGACATCCAGTGAGTTATAAATGTTGCACAGGGTTCCTCCGAAAGGCCATTTCCTGCTACGCAGCTCCACGGTTGCAGACAAGGGCAGCACCAACAGGCCAAGCAGGAGATCCGCCACGGCCAGTGACACTACAAAGCAGTTAGTGATCTGCCTCAGTCTCCGGCTGAGACCCACAGCCAAGCAGACCAGGACGTTACCCCCGATGGTCAAGACAATTATAAACACAAGGAACAGCCAACGGAGAACGGTGAAGATCATGGCTGCCTCCACTTTTGGGTCAGTACCTCTGTTTCAAATGTTTAAAATGACTCATCCACTCGCTGAAGCCTTCTGCGCTCCTTCACATGCTCATCAGGTGATCCGTCTCATGGCATCGGGGTGAAAAAAGTTTCACAGGTAGATCACTGTTTGGGAAACTCTTCTTAGCCATCTCTTTTTTTTTAACAGTGCCATGTTCTTTGATTTGAACTCATCTCTAGAGCAAACAAAGAAGAACATGATTATTGGAAAACATATGATAGATAATAATTCTTTTTTTTAATTTCTATAAGATAAATCTGTTTTTCCTGTTCAATAAAAAATAAATAAAATATACTGGTAGTCAACTAAAATATAATTTGATATTTAGTCACAATACTCCTAAAATACCGTTTTCTAAGTGTATTCCTTCTGTACTGTTTTATGCAAAATGGTAATGTCGGCATCATTATAGTAACATGAATCTGCACAGTCATTCTCATCAGACAACAGGCCTTAAGCAATAAATCAAAATAAATCCCACCTTTTTCATTTGCTAAGTAAAGGGTCAACATATTGGTTTTTCATTTTTGCATAATGTTTCTCTACACAAAGTCATCTTCAGTCCTAATCTAATCTGCAAAACCAATAAGATCAACTAATTCTGTCTAAGCCAAGAGGCCGCTTTGAAACAAAAGGCCCCAAAAGGTTTTCGAATAAATCATTTTGACTTAAGAATCTATGCAGCATCATTTGTTTCTTATAAAATGAACACAATAAATAACCTATAAAAACATCAAGAACCAAGGATGCAAAATCGACATGAACTTCAGGACTTCAGGGCAGAACTCTAACATCTCCGTTCATGTTTACATCCCATTCCTTCAGCTGCTGTATTACGCAATACCTCACTTAGGTGATTTAGTCCTCATAAAGTTAAACAACTTCCTCAGTTCCAAATGGTTTCTCCTATGGTTTGTTTACCCCTCTGGCTGTTTATCTTTCTCACACAGCGTAATACAGAATTCCTAAACAGTCAAACAATTGCTGCCTTGACTTGCAGTTCTAATCATGACTATTTGTTATCATCAACACGGCCGGAAAATTCTTCATCAAAGTTTGTTTACTTCATCCTGATGCACCATTACCTTATGGGACGTAACATATGCTTTTACGTTTATTATGATTTTAAGAAAAACGTACATTTTTTACAGTACGCTTATTACTAGAATAAAAAAATTAAAATTAAAATACGCCGTGAGCTGCTCTGTATTTGCTCACCAGTAGCAGACGTCTTATAAACAATCATAAAACATTCAGTCCAACGGGGTCACATAAATCCAAACTGTTTACTGAAATAGTTTGGCAAAAAGAAAAACAACCATAACTATCCCACAACACAATTTCAGAAATAATCCTGATTTATTTATTTTATTTGCTTTGTGCTCTGGTGGCACAGCTGGTAGAGCTGCTGCCTCTCAGTGAGAAGGTCGCCGGACTGAATCCCAACCAGGGACTTTGCTGGGTGAAGTTTGCATGTTCTCTCAGTGCATGCGTGGGTTTTCTTTGGGTACTTTCCTCCCACAGACCAAAAACATGCATGTTAGGCTGATTGGTAACTCTAAATTGTCTCTAGGTGTGAGTGAGAGAGTGAATGGTTGTTTGTCTTGTTTGTCTTTATGTGTCCCTGTGATGGACTGGAGACCTGTCCAGGTTGTCTCCTGCCTTTTGCACGTTGACTGTTGGACATTGGCACCAGTGACCAGGAAAACTTAAAAAAAGTGGGTAAAGATAATTGTTGGATGGATGTTTTATTTTATATTCTTTGCATTTTAAAGACGCATATTTTTCTGTTCTTGCATTTTCTTTTACTTTACTTACTGCTGTGTATCCACAAGTGTGTTTTGAAACTGAAAACTAAACACAAAAACTAAAAATAAAAATAAAAAAATTGGGACACGACCAGCCTTTTTGTGTGTTCTTTCTCACAGTCCCAGCTGTGCTCAGTGCTACTGTCACTGAAATAACAGTGATGAATGAAACTCCTGCAGTTTACGACTTATTTAATAAGAAACAAGCTAAACCAATTTTACAGCAGCAGCAAATTTGATTTGGTGATGTCAACCTGTGTCAGAGCATCACTCACGGGACAACGCAATCTTTGAACAGAAAAAAAAAACAGAGCACTTCAACAAATGTGGTTTTTGCATTCAGAAACTAGTAAAACACATTCTCAAGACTTGATTAAGGGGCTTTAATAACTGATTTCAGCAAAGTGATAATACCATTAATTATAGAATATGTTGTACTTGAAAGATTTTATCTGTTAATGTAATTAACATAATTAACTGATTTCTACTATTATCTTCTGAGTTCACTTCCCTGTCTGGAACAGCTTATGTAAGAGAATCGTAATTTACGTTTAACAACTACAATGAACATTTGACATTTTCTGTGATTTTTGTAAAAAAAAAAAAAAAAAAATCCAACTAAGACCAGTCATAAGGTTATTTGATGCTCGACAGCAGGCTGTACAAATCACCATAAGCTAAACGACAAAGGTGGGAGCTGCCTTTGAACATTCTGACAATGACAAAACCTGACTTGGATCGCTCTCACCATCATATGTGCTCAAAACTGAAAACACTACAGGAAAGCAATATTCAGTAGGAGGTTACAGATAAGATATCAGCACCACGAGCTTTATGACGCACGTCTAACAAACTCTTTCACGTTTTATTGAGACAATATATCAACTTTCTCAGTTGCCAGAAAAGCAGGAGAAGTCAAAAGGAGTGACAAGTTTACCCAGAATAAATCTTTTGTTTAGTGGAACTAGTTCCTGTTCTGGTTAAGGTTGTTCCCAGTACAACCTAATCCAGGTATTAACAAATTAGATAATAATATCAAGTAACGGCAGTGAGGGTGATAAGAGTAGGGAATACGTAGTTATGGTGTTGACAATGCAGTAAAGGAAATTATCGTCAAACAGAACCATCAGTTCAGTTCACTTAATAACACCTACTGTATTAACAATAAAAGGTAACTTGGTCTTTTACACAGAAAATACACAAGCTAAGTTCAACCCTAATTAAAAGCTAATGAAGTGGGGATCGATGGACAAGTTATGGGTTGTTAGTTCAGAAAATTACATTTTATTTCTAAGCTAACGATTTGTTAGAGTCAAGAGAAAAGTAGATTTTTGCCATCTTAAAAATGTCAATGCGGTCCATGTGACCTCTACTTAATCCATTATATGAATGTCTGTTTGGCATGACACCATCCATCCATCCATCCATCCATCCATCCATCCATCCATCCATCCA